CTATACTAGGTATATAATCAAAATAGACAATGAACATTATAACAAAGAACATGAATAAGATAAATACTAATATTGTCATAACAATTGTAGCAAGCATATAAAAGTAATGGAGATACAAAAGAGAGAGGGGGTACAAAGATTATACTGAACCACGCTCTTGACACGATCGAAAATCCAAGCGAAGCCTGCTTGCCTCCCTCTAGACTTAGCCTAACTAGCTATGTCCTAGAATATGATGAATCTCTGAGGATGATTAGGGTTTCTATCTTCTCAAATGACTTGATGCATCGGTGGGGGTGGCAGGGGCTATTATATATAGGCCGGAGCGTCCATCGTGAGCCCTTGGATCAAACTGACTTAAAGAACGACGTAGATGCAACCTAGAAGGCGGTGGAGAACCGACATAACAATGGAGGATGACATGTGGGCCATGGGGGGGTCGGGCGGCCTACAAGTGGGCCTGACCCCACCTAGCAGCCCCTCAGGCTCCGCCTCGGTGTGGAGTCCTCTCGAGTCTTCTGGTGTCAGTTTCGCTGCGGATAAGCGTGGTTAACTCTGACATCTAGGTCCACCTTGATGGTTTTCTGAATAAACCCTGCAGAAAATCACAGATTCACCAAAACTCATGGAATTTTTTAGTTTAAACACATAGACCTTTGTTGGTGATCATATCTATGCCCTTATGTATGTTATATTGATGGTTTATAAATTTTGTTAACTACCGTCAACACTGTCTCACCCATCGGCACTGCCCTGCATGCTAGTTGGTCCACCGTGTCCCCTCTCATCATCAGGCCTTGACCCCCTACCGCTGCCGGTGCTCCTCTCCACCTCGTCCATCCGTGCCGCGATAGTCTATCGCTAGTGGCCCCTTCGCCCCATCGGGCCTTGTCCTCTACATCATGCCCGCGACGCTGCAGCATCGGTGCCACCCTGAGGTGCTACCCTTCGGTGGGCCTTTGCTAAGCGCACCTAGGACTTCTACACGAGATGTTGCTGTAATATCTTTTCTATTTTTCTTGATCAGAGATCAGGTTTGCATTGCCCACCGCCTATCGACCTCGCTCGTACTACTCTAGCATCGGCATAGACTTCACTAGCATCTCCATGCATGTTCGGCTGTGTGGCTGGGCTAGGGCTTGCGATGCCGAGACGACATATTCCCGCGTCGCTTCTCAGTCGTTCAACCCACATGTCTACATCGTCGGTTCGTCATCGCCACCACAAATCGGGACATCTCCACCGACTTCTTCCATCGTCGCTGCACCTCGCATGTACTTGGTCCGTACAACTGGTTATGCCCGATCCACATGGTTCTCATGACGTCCACCGCTGAGTACTACGTGCATCTTATCCGAGCAATAGGGCTGCTGTCGTATCACCTCATCGGACCACAGCACCGCCGCCCATGTCCGCTTCACCGTTGCATCTACATCGTTATCCACTATGCATCGGCGACTGTGATGCGCAATCTTTGTTGTGACATCCATCTGCACAAGGTCTTCATCATGCTGATTGAGTCATCAAGCCGTCGCTAAGACCTGCTCGTCGGCTGCCCCCCTCACGTCATCGCTGAGCCCTGCTCGCCGACGCGTCTACTCCCAAACTGCTTCTTCTTCATCCAGAACAACCACTCCATAGCGTCGCCATCACATCACCACCTACTTCATCTACTCTGACAATCATGCACTATGCCATCTAGCCCACTGCTCTGTGCACCGCAACCATCGTCGAGACCTTCTTTGCCGGTCCCTTAAACGTTGATACATGGTTGGGGCCCTCTACATTGTACGTCCGGTATTGGCAACACCGGTGCGCTCGTTCATTCCCGACACGTTGCTAGGTCTGGCAAACCTAGCCCACGCCTCAGCTCAAGTGGCTTGACTGCATAGACTTCGGCATCGACCCTCCCATTCCCACCCCGTCTGCCTCGATTGTGTCATCGCCTTTCTTTTACGTCCACGATGGCCATGACTGCATCGACTTCGGCATCGCCCCTTTGACGACGACTGCCTCAACGCGTCTCCATCGTCACCATGGCGCCCCTTGTGCATCTGCAGCTCCATCAGCATGGCAATCGGACCACAACTACATTGACCTCGGCTAACTTTAGCACTATTCCTTTGAACACGGCAACAAGGGCCTTCAACTCGGCTACCTCAACATCGACACAAAGAGCTATCATCTGCATGAGTCTAGTCGCAGCGTATGCACCGTGCCAAATTGTGACTGCGGGGGATGTCAGTTAACTTCTTCTCCAGTCTCTGCCTGCGGTGCTCCCGTTGTGACTGTGGGAGGGGGTGTTAGAGTATATCGACGTGGTCTTAGTGCCCAAAATAGATAGGCTATTGTTAGCCATTAGTTTAATCCTCTCCTCTTGCTTCTAGGCTGGTGAATGGGCACTATCGGGCAACAGTGCTCCGGCACATCTATATTACATGCACACTTGTGATTAATCAATTAATCATGCATTCTCGAATCTCCCAATCTTACATGGCGCAGCACCCAAGGAAGCCTGCGTCCCGCGACACGGGTTGTGATGCACGACGACCGGTCGGGCCACCAGAGCAATCCACTCGTGCGGCGGTGCGCGATGGTGGCATTGTAGAGGTGCACACGTGGCGGTGTAGGGGTGGAAGCGAGCCTGGGCCCACGCTGCGCAGCGGAAACTGCTCTCCTGCGCGGCTGCGCCCCTCTCTCGTATGCCAGATAGGATTAAGGCAGGGGCAAATAAGTCTTCTCATATTTGGTCCTAGTGCCAAATTAACGTTCCATAACATGAAAACTGATGGAATCACTACCGGACACCCTCTCTTTGCCGAGTGCCCTGCGGCACTCGGCAAGGCCCGAAATACATTCGGCAACACTCGGCAAAGGACACTCGACAAAAAATTAATCAGCAAAGAAGCCTTTGTTGAGTGCTTTTTGTCGGGCACCTTTACCGAGTGCCGGAAAAGCACTCGGCAAAGATTTATACTCGGCAAAATAAAAATGCGAAAAAACCCAAAAATAATAGCAAATTTTTTTCCCGGGGGAGGCCGCCACCGGCCAGCGCCCGCCCGTCTCCATCGAAGTCGCTGCATTTTTTGTGCAAAATTTGCAGCTAACGTGGCCGACGGGATTCGAACTCACGACCTCTCCCTCGCATGCCTGCTGCTCTACCACTGCACTACACTGTTACTTGTGTCTAGATTCCGTTATCTATCCTCATATATTATACTAAACCGAGAGTAAATTACTTGTTTGGGGCCCTAAACGAATTCAAATCAAAAAGTGTTCAACTACAAAGTTTCATAACTTTTCAAGATCTACAATTTTCATTTAGGAAGCTTTTCCATCCGAGGTCGTTTGAAAAATTCGAATTTCAAATTTTAGAGATTCAAACGTAGTTTTGCATGATAAGATGATTTCAAATCAAAAAGTTGTTAACTACATAGTTTCATAACTTTTGGAGATCTACAATTTTCATTTAGGAAGTTTTTCCATCCAAGGTCTTTTGAAAAATTCAAATTTTAAAATTTTCAAATTCAAACGTCGTTTTTCCATGACAAGATGATTTCAAATCAAAATGTTGCCTGCTACAAAATTTCATAACTTCTCAAGATCTACAAAGTTTATTTTGGTCATTTGTTCAACCGATATAGCGGTAGTAACATTGTTCACAAATCTTATATATCTCTCTTCTACTTTCATGAAACTAATATGAGAGATATGAGAGATGTAGATTTTATGAACAACGTTATTGTCGCTTTGTCAAATGAAGAAATGACCAAAATAAACTTTGTAGATCTTGAGAAGTTATACAACTTTGTAGTTGAAAAGTTTTTCATTTGAATTCATTTAGAGCCTCAAAAATTGCTTTGAAAAAATGATTTGCCGAGGACAAAAAAAAATGCACACGGCAAAATGCCTCTTTGCCGAGTGCCAAAACATGGCACTCGGCAAAATACATCTTTGCTGAGTGCCAGAAAAAAGGCACTCGGCAAAGACGCATTTTGCCGAGTGCATTTTAATAGCACTCGGCAAAATACATCTTTGCCGAGTGCCAGAAAAAAGGCACTCGGCAAAGACGCATTTTGCCGAGTGCCGAAAAATGGCACTCGGCAAAATATATCTTTGCCGAGTGCCGAAAAAAACACTCGTCAAAGCCGTCTTTGTCGAGTGTTTTTTTTTTGCCGAGTGTATTTTATTTGGCACTCGGCAGAGACCGTCTTTGCCGAGTGCATTTGCCGAGTGCCCGATAAAATACACTCGGCAAAGCCTCCGGCACTCGACAAAGTGCCGGTTTCCAGTAGTGAATGGTACTTCCAGTTCATGGTCCAACCTTTCGATGCTATTTTACGGGGACACAATCTTTCGGTGGTATTTTACGTAGATCACGATCTTTCGATGCTACGCAACCAAATTTTCCCTTTGACGAAACGACTTCATCATGCAATGGTCCCCTACCTAGAACAGTATAAATAGTACCTCACAGAGATGGTATTGAGACAACTAATTCGATATTGCTACTGAAGCAAGTTAGGGCGTGAATATAATCCCAAGCTCCTCATAGAAATGAATACAGATTTTCATATGGCTGAAGGGGAAGGAGAATGGAGCTACTCCAAAAATTCTAGGCGTCAAGTGATTATTCTATCCCTTTTCCTACGACAGAACTATGTTTTATTGTAACATGCATTTCTCATGTTGCATGCACCAAGTTTGTAAGCAATTCATATGTTGATAATGTTATTGTTAATAATTATTGCAACAACAGTTTATTGTCTTCTACGGATTTGAAATGTATATAAAATTAGTCTTTTCTTAAAGCATATAGAACATTGGTTAAGTACATGCTTTGTTTGCAATTGTTGCTATCCCTTGATATTGTCAAATCATATTAATCTTGTGCAATTATCGATGCCAGTTAAGTACCATCCATTGACCCATATATCACCCAGTAATTTCGTCTTTTTTGTGAATTCTATTAGGAAATAGTTATTTGTGAGACCAGGACAATGGTTGAGAATGCCATCAAAGAAGTGTACACAGCTCTTCTCCCCAAAATTATGACTATTGCCGACCTAGGATGCTCTGCAGGACCAAACACATTGCTCTTCATTTCTAGTATTATAAGCATCATTGTTGAACAATGTAAATCTGGTGGAGATGCTTCTGTGGAACTTCAATTCTTCTTGAATGACCTTCCCGGCAACGACTTTAACGAACTATTTCGGTCAATTGAGAAGTTCAAAAGGCCAAATACAACGGGTGAAATGGCACATCTACCACCTTTGTACTATATTATGGGGTTACCAGAATCCTATTACAACAGGCTTTTTCCTCGTGAAAGTGTCCATCTATTTCACTCTTCATACTGTCTTCATTGGCGCTCCCAGGTATTTGGATCAATGATTAAAATTACTTATTTATCAATGTTAATCAGGGGTTTTGCTACGGTACTCCAGTTATCTCCAAAAAGGTAAGAGCTCAAACAGATCACAACCCTTGATTTTTTGGTAGACGTAATAATTATGTAATTAAAATAATTAACATACAAGAAAAAAGAGAAAACTATCTAACGTGTGAGCCAGCGATTTACTTCCTTACCTATTTCTCTCTCACATGGAACACCGGATTTACCTAATGCGTTTTTTTTACTTATTTTCTTCATGTGTTGGCAGGGAGTTGTCTAGCTAAACTCAAGGGTAAAAATATGATTGTTCAACTATTCACAAGTTTGCTCACGAGAAATACAACTTATTTATATAAAAAAATATAAAAATTGATTATAATATTGGCATTTACGTTTGAACTTATTTGTTAAATTTAAGATATTATGAGATCTATTAGGTATATAATATTTTTTTACCGAACCGTTTGTCGAATTTATATTTGATTATACCGTATAAGATCAAACAAATTTACTTGGGCATACCTTGGATTCAAATCCTACGTCCACCACCGTCTACGGTCACATTATTCAATTCATGAAAAAATTACGTATATAACCACATGTGCCATATAGTTGGATATCTTTTGTCGACCTGAAACGAAGAGCATATATGGGGCCTAAAAATATTCTAGTAGTTCTTTTTCATAGATGCTAAAATCAATGTATGACAATTTTATTTATACCCATCATAGCTTTTATAGATATAAAATTGAAATTCTTCCTATAATTCTATATTTGAGTTTTCGTTTAGGCTAGTTAGCCCCAATTTTTTCACCAAAAAACTAGGAAAAATCATCTAAATGCATGGTTATAAAATTAGTATTTTTTCATATGTGGTCAAGTGAAACCCAAATTTCCTTAATAAATGGCAAGCTCAAAATTATGTTTTAAAGCATTGGAAACAAGCTAAAATTTTATGACACATGTCTATTAATTTTAAAATAGAGCCTAATTTTCAGCATGTGCTTTGTTAAGAAAAATTAATTTTTACTCGAGCATGTATGCTAAAAAGATATATGACACAATACTTCCCGAACTATGAATTTTGGATGGTTTTTTTTTTGGACTTCTGAGAAACATTTTTTAGGCCAAACAAGTTAACTAAACACTGAAAACTATCTATAGAATGACTTATAAAAAATCTTAATTTCTTCTGTTAAGATAAAATTGTATTACAAATGTATGACTTCACCGAGTAATGACTTTTGAATGTTGTTCACTCACGAGAAGATATTGTATATTTTGTTTATTTCACGTATACAAGGTATACTTTTGTAATTAGCATACAAAAGTGAATTTCAAAAAAACTAAAAAGTTCATTACAAATTCACTTTCAATCCACTAAAATATTAGACAATAATGTATGAGATCTAATTATGTATGTGATAGATCATTATCTATCACATTGGAGCTAATATATCCAATTACAAGATATTTTGCCTACTATTTTGCCTATTTCCTAAAGTTACAAATATAAATATAAAATATATATTTATGTAGTTATCGGCACTTAGATCAACAGCTAATCGTTGATTGGGAGTACTGTAGCAACCCTTAGTTACATATCTTCCATGATGTGTCCATCTTCTTGCAATTCTCTTAACATGTCTATCATAATGTTCTGATAAGGACTTCTCCCTCTTCCTGAAGTTGGGAGTACTGTAGCAACCCTTAGTTACATATCTTCCATGATGTGTCCATCTTCTTGCAATTCTCTTTACATATCTATGTAGGAACCTGAGGGACTAGAGGCGTGGAGAAAAACTTATCTAAATGAAGACAACATTTACATTACAAAGACCACAACACCTTTTGTGGTGAAACAATTCCAAAAGCAGTTCCATAAGGACTTCTCCCTCTTCCTGAAGTTGCGCCATGAAGAACTTGTGCATGGAGGGCAAATGGTCCTTATATTTCTTGGGAGGAAGAATGAGGATGTATACAGTGGTGATCTCAATCAACTTTTTGGATTGGTTGCAAGATCGTTACAGTCTCTTGTTTTGAAGGTAGTTGTATATGTAAATTATTGCATTGTTGTATTTTTTTTTACTTATTTTCACTTTGTGGAGGAAGTCATGAAGTTAAAAGAATTATGATCATAACAGGGCCTTGTGGACAAGGAAAAGCTACAATCTTTCAATCTACCATTCTATGGGCCGTCAGTTGGAGAAGTGAAGGAACTAGTCATGCAAAGCCATTTGTTCAACATGGACCTAATTAAACAATTTGAGGCAAACTGGGATCCTTTAGATGATTCTGAAGGTGATAATGTTGAGGATAGTGCCTGCAGTAGCATGAACATTGCTAAGTGCATCAGATCCATACTAAAGTCTTTAATTGTTTGCCATTTTGGAGAAACCATACTTGACGCATGGTTTGCCGAGTTCAGGTGCTTGTCGCTAAGCACCTTGAAAAGGAGAAGACCAAGTTCACCATCATCGCCATGTCCTTGAAGAAAGAATAATATAGATCCGCATGGGTGCTGTTTGTCAAATTTCTTCTACTCAAATACTAAAGAATTATATGTGTGTGTGCACGCGTGTGTGTGTGTGTGTGTGAGAGAGAGAGAGAGGGAATAAAAAAAATCTTACATATTGATCAGGAAACGGCGGCCTGGTGTGTACGTACCCTAAGTTGGCATTAATGCCATGAACAAGTCGTCGGCTATCCTAGTGCTCTGCATCGCAAGTACATGAGCTATGAAGAAGCTATTCGAGATTTCAACTCAAACAGTGTCTCTACTGCTGCAAATTCTTTCATTACAAAAACAACTCATGCTCCTAGACCAAGTGTGCCTTTGAAATGTCTAGCTATTATCGTGTTTTCTGTCCTAGTTTGTGGACGAGGCTTAGCAATTGTGGGGCCTGTGACCGCAATCTTTATTAATGTTGTAATGGTATTTGATGACTAAACTGTGGTTGGAACCTTTGTAATGTGTTGCTGAACCAATGTTTATTCCTGTTGTTCCTGTGTTGCTCAACCGATGTGATGGATACAAGGTGGTGGTAAGTGGTAACTCCACCCTATCTAGTGCATGGGTCACCAGACCGGCAACCATGTAGGGAAACAAAGAATATCTCAAAGTGGTAGTTGGTTATGTTTGGTCTAACCTTATGCAGCCAAACAAATATGATCTTTGGGAAACCAGACTCTACACACAAATAAAAACAAACACATGCAGTTGCAGTTGTTCAGCCAGACTTTCCCTGGCCTGAGCCTACTTATTCGAACGGGCTAAGCTGGCCCAGATAAACAAACACGCCCAAAAATCCAAAATAAGAATAATATACTATGCTCTCTGATGGTGGAAAAGGAAAATGGTTGTATGTGGCATCATTCAACGATAAATTGTTGGTTGGCCATTGGCCGGCCTTCACGAGAAGAGAATGACAGAGTGACGGAGGCACAGACAGAAGTTGGCTTCTCGACGGCTATGGCAGAGCGAGTTCTGCGGGCCCTCTGCACTCGAGGATAGGACACAAGGTGGTGGTGAGCATGCACAAAGGTTATGATGCTTTGATGGAGAGCCCTTTCTTTAAACCTGAGCCGTGATTTTTTGTTTCGTGTGTTGCAACGGGAGCCGCAGAATATAGAAATTTCTATATATGTTGTAACTTATATAGTTTTAATTGGCTAACGTCAAAATAGTCTACGTTCCACGGGTAAGCAGGAAAATATGTTAACTCATAATATGCAGGAAAATATGTTAAGCTTCAATTACTTAGCACTTCAAAAATTAAAGCAAATATATAAATAGCTTATTCCTTTTCAATGTTTCGCAGACAATATAAGTTATACATTCCATCAAAAAGTCGCTAGCACAGGAACAGAAAGTAGCTTGCCAGAGGCTTTTTAGTTGTAGGGATAGAGATTCATCAAAATTATATCAAACGGTATGTTCGCTGGTTAGTTTCTGAGTTGGTTTGGACTGACTGGTGCAGATTTATTGTGAGAGAAAAACACTGTTGGCTGACTGGTTTGGGCTGGCTGAAACCAACAAGCGAACAGGCCGAAAGAGGAGGGAAAGTGATTTGTAGTGCCCTCGATCGAGTAACCAATGTACCCAAGTACTGTTGCAACAAAATGGGTGCTTGCCCAGCTAGCACATGAAAACAGTGTGATTCCAGTTCCTGTTTGGTCAAGAAATTTCCTTTGGAATGCTTGATGTCGGAGCCCGGTGTTGGTGAGTTCGTGGTCACCACCTTTGTGCAGCTCCAACGCCTCGTCCGACACATGCCCATTCGAGGCCTTGGCATCTTTCTTGCATTGCAATGGTAGCCACCTGCCTTAGCCGGTTCGGTTGCAGGTTCGTATCGTTGCTGATTCGCTTATGTGAGAGAGAAATACTGTTGGCTGGTTCACATGAACAGTGTTCATGTGAGAGAGCTGACCAGCCCAACCAACCAGCCGCCCCCAGCCGAACGGGCTGTGCTCGTTTGATGCCTCAGTGGCCAGCCGCTCCATTCTCACTTTTGGTACGGTCTCGAGTCTTGACGAGCTTACGAGATTCTGGAGAAAGTTAAGTACCTGTTTGGTATGGCTCCCAGAGGGGCTCCGGCTCCGGCTCCTAGAGGAGCCATACAAAACGCCATGGCTGAGAACAGCTTCACCGGAGGAGCCGTATGGGGAGCCAGAGCCCTTTTGTACTGCGAAGGTGAAGCCCCAAATCGTGGCTTCTTGTGGCTCCGTCTGACGATTACAGCAGTAAAGACACGGCTACCCTCCTCCATGCTCCTTGCTCGGCTCACGAGGCAACGACGGCGTGATGCGCCACCGTGGAGCGAAGCGTCTTGGCAATGCGGCGCGGACGCTACACATCATTGTGCCGCCGAAAGCGGCGATGTGGGCAAGCATCTCATGGGAGAGCCCGTGGCGGCGAGGAGCGGAAGCGGCTGCGTGAGGTGCGAGCACAGATCGGTCGCACAAGCGCAAGATATAAGCGCTGGTCAAAAAAGCGCAAATCGAGCGGTGGCGCGGCGGTGTACATGAGAGGATGAGGATCGTCGACCTTTTTTAGATAGATTAGAGAAGGACGTAGAGCGTGGTGCAGGCCGTTTTGGGCCTTGGCCCATTCGGTGTTTGTTTTAGCCCTGTTTTTCGTTAAAACAATAGTTTAAATACAGTTTACTTTATTAATCATGAACAATGTTATAAATAATCATCGCATGATTGTCAATTAGATGTATTTTAATTTTAATTTTTCATGTAGAAGGGCAGTATGGACATTTGATATCCTTCATCTCTCTAAAAACCAGAAGGAGCCGTTTTGTCAAACATTTTTCAGAACGGCTTCAGCTCCTCCTTCAGAGGAGCCAGAGCCGGAGCCATTTTCGAGGAAGCAAGAGCCTACCAAACCTGCCCTAGATCTGCTCCTCAGAGCACATGCCCTTACACATGCAGCCGTTGGATGCATCACCTCGTAATACGTGCCACTTTACTCCAGCTCCAATACAAATGAAATAAATTTCAAATACACTGCGACATACGTACGTATGTTCCACACGCATTATTGGAGCTGAGCCATGCGACCTGGGCAGGTCTTATCTCTCCTCTCTGCATTTGTTTTTTTATTTCTTTTTTGTTTCTCTCACCTGCTTTCGATTCCCAACGAGGAAACATGGTTGCCGTCGCCGGCTCCGCCGCCGTGTCGGCCGCCTCCAGCTCGCCGGCACGCCATAGCAGCCACCTCCAGCTCGCAGCCAAGTCGCATTCGTCCCTCTACCTCACTGCGTCGCAGCATCAGCACAGGGCGGCGCGCCGGCGGTGACCTAGGGCAGCCGCTCCGCCGCACCGGTGGCAGGAGAGGCAAGCCAGATGGAGCAAAGGTGCGGCGAACATCTAACATTGGGTCCTCGTCGTTGACTATCATGGTCCGTCCGCCCAATCCTATTCCTCTCCCTTTCTTTTCGAACCAAATCGCAAGTTCACATCTCTTCTCCCTCTCATCTAATCGCAGGCTGCCGCTACCATGATAGCTTTACGGTCGCCGCTGCCGCCGGATTCATTGTCCCTACTAGATGCCACTGGGTTACTCTACTGCTGGTGTTGTTGCTAAATCCCTTTTCACTACTGCTCTCGCCCAGATCCGCTGAGATCCGCTCACAGGTACTGGGTTTGTTCAAAATTCGATTTCTCTTTGACTTTGCATTTTCTTGATTCAGATGTTTTGAGAGTTTGTGTTTTTTGTTCCAAAATTTCTGTCCTATTTGTGTCATGCTCGTACACTTAGAATGAATCATCTGTTGGTGCTCTGTTATTTCTTCAGTAAGGCCTCGTCAAGAGCCTTTACGTGGTATGATTTATCCAATAGCTTCCCTGTTGTACCATTTGTTTTGTTCTCCTTTTTACTTCGCTGCTTATAGTTGCAGCTGCATTAATACTGATATCTATAATATAAATCAGGTGCAGCATCTTGCTTGCTTGGTAAAAAAAATGATGCCTTTGCAAATTGATGTGGTAAAAAATTGTTTTAGCTGATCATAGTCTTGTGTTCAACTCACGTTGTATAAGCAACTTAATGGGTCCTAGAATAAAAAGAGAATCAAACCCTCACAGAAGTGTTACCAGCTTTGGCGAAAACTACCCCGGCGAACTTTCAGCCTCTTTCTGTTGTCTCCAACCTGACATGCTTCCACCTCTCTCTGTCAGGAAAAAGAAGGCTTCAATCAAAATATGTGTATCAGTTGAGGGTCAACGTGTACCTCACTATACTAATTTCTGGAAAGATCGTTAAAGTGAGACACAACTAGAGCTTAGTACCAACTATACAAAAATTGTCCTAAAGCAAGAAACAATGTTTTCCTGGCGTGGGAGAGATTGAGCTCTAACCAAAATTCAGCTTGATATTGTCTAGTATTCCACAACTAGACTGTACATCAGTTCCAGCGTGGAGACAACTGGCTAGGCAAGCTAATAGTCAAACGCTCCTTGTGAATTTGAATTGAACTAGATCATAACAGACAAGGCAGAGAGCTGCCAGCCATGCATTTTAAAAAAAATGAATGCA